CGAGCGCCACAGCGCCGGGCCGCGGCGCGTGCATAACAACTTGAAGTAAACAGCGATTAAATGGCTGCCGGGCCCTAATACAACCAGCGCCGTCCCCGCAGGAGGAACCGTGACAGCGAGCGCCGTAATATCCAGGCCAATGGGGCTTCGGTCATTTCCGAGCGCCACGCGCCCGCGTAGTACGCCGGACTCCGCGGCGTGAAGGGCTTTTCGGCCGCCGGAAACCGGCCCGGTGGCAAACTCGCCGGCGGTAAATCACCGGCAAAGTCAAACTCGAAAGCTCGTAAAAAACTCGCCCCTGGACCGGCAAAAGTTTGCAGTAAACCGCAACCTAAGGTGCGGAGGGCAGAGGGGACTTAGCGAGGGCACTTAAGCCGGCCTGGGGGGGGGGGGGGGGGTAACGGGAACTGCCAACACCCGCGTCCAGGCACAAGGTACCTGAGCTGCACACCTGGGCGCGCTGCCCAGGGGGGCGCCAAGTCGTGAGCTGGGTTCCATTGGGTTTCATGTCCAGGGCGGCGGTCAGATTTTCCGCCGGTGAGTTCGCTGTGGGCCATTTTTGGCCCTTAGGCAAGCTCAGATACCATTCGACCAGGGATGTTGGGGTTGTCGTGTAAACTTGACACCTCGATCCCATCACGTGTCCCATGAGAGGACCCTGCTTACGGCTCGCATCATAGGATGCGTTGCATGATACACGATATTTTCTCGTATGATACGCTCATGTTTTCTCATACAATACGCTCCAGCTCCGTTGCATATATCAAATTCTCTGAAATGAGACGAACACCAGGGATCTGCTGGGACCTCATCTGGACGTTTGAGTTAAAGAAAATGCGACCATCGGTGATGGCCCAATCTGAGTGTAATTTGGCGATGAAGCGTACAAGCTCATCTTGAGAGTCGAACATCATCATTTCGCAAGCGGTGCGGCAATCGAGAGACTCGTAAGCAGATTCTGCACACTCAGCGATCGTATCCCGTACGGTCACCAAGAGCATCTCCATAAAAAATGAGAAGTGTGTCGGTGCCGGCATATTGGCCTTGGCCGCCAAAACCTATTTGCGCTGTGATAGATAATTCATAGATAATTAGGAACAAGGCTATCGGCCTGGTTGTATGTTCCCACCATAAGAAACTGCTCTAGCGATGTTGGAAATGCTACCTCTCGGCATTGTAGATCAACTGGCGCCATCAGTTCCAGCTAAACACATAGATTATCTCTGGGAGTGACACCGACCACCAACCTCAGAATGGAATTCTGCTAGTCTGTTCTCGACAATCAAAAACAATAGATTGATACCTAGGATCGTCTGTCGCAGCTGCGACTTGGCTGCGAGCCTATGATAGAAGCCTATCGTTGGTCACAAGCTGAACCGCGCCTTGGGATCCCATAATACGCCTTGAGCTGCGAGACATTTCGCTGGAATCCAGGTGTGTCAGATGTGTGCACACAGAGTAGTACAGCCAGCTCAAGTGTCCGCTCTGTTAATTGAATCACGGAATTTTAGCGGATTAACCACACGCTGGATACCGCGCGACCAAGAAGCATGGTGGACTCGGTCTCATCGATGCCTCCATCCAATAGTAGCTACAGGAAATGATGG